CCGAAAGGAACAAGGGGCATTGAAACTAACGTCCAAGGATCCAAAGCAATTTGGATACCAAAATCGAAATGAATGTCTCTTGTAGGTGTGTGTGAGCAATGGTGATGAAGATGATGATATTCAAGATGCTCTAGCCACACATGAAAAAGGAATGGGTAACCTCTAAGCTTAATGCTTTTAATTTTGGTTATTTGGTTGCTCATTTAATTTTAAGCATGCATGAGTTTTGATTTTAAGTAATTATGTATTATTTTTAATCTCATGTATGTTAAAAAGAAATTATGATGAACATTTTAATGTCTTAATAATTTTTCAAAATTTTTAGTTCATCATAATAAAATTTTGGTCAAAATTGGTTGTAATGCAATTGATATCTCTCTAACAATTGATATCAAATTTTCAAATACTTTGATTTTACAAATTTTAAAAATTTTTGACCTAAATTTGAATGTTTATGCATGTGGTTTAAATGAAAATGATATCTCTCTAACAATTGATATCAAAATTTTCAAATGCATAACATTTTTGGAAAACTTTATGCATATGCACTTAATTTTAACAATTGGTATTAATATCAAATTTCAACAATTGGTATTGCATAAAGTATTTTAGACTTGGATATATTGAATTTCATGTGCCTCTAACATGTTTGTTATTATTTGTAGAAATTCAATATTTTGTTTAAGTGTCATGAACTTAAAAGCTTAATTTTATTTGGAATGCATTTATTCAGGGGGAGTTTTGATTTTTCAAATGCTTTTTAAAATGTCAAATTTACTACTTACTCTCCAAAGTTATTTTGAACTTCAAAGATTGAATTATTTTTGATATAACAAAAAGGGGGAGAGGTTATGGTTTGAAAAATTCAATTTCTTAATGAAAAAGGAGAAAATTGGGAGCTTAACATTTTCATATGTTTTCCAACAACTAGTATCTTTTTCATTAAACATTTTACTAAGGGGGAGTTTTGTCAAAAACAATTTTTCAAATGTTTTGTTATATCAAAAAGGGGGAGATTGTTGAACTATGTTTCAATATAACAATTTAAGGCAAAATGGTTTTTGGACTTGAATTGAATTTACAAAATGTTTTTGGACTTAATTGAATTTATTCAAAGTTTTTAAAAGGTTTCAAAAATAATTCAAAATCAATTAAAATTCGGATTTGAGCCAAAAATATTTTAAGGGGCTTCAAGATTGCCCAGGGGGTATAGATTCCCCCCTAGGGGGTACAGATACCCCCTGCAGGTTTTTGCCTCCGAGAAAAACAGAATGTCCAGGGGGTACCGATTCCCCCATGTTCAACAGCCCAATGGTCATAATATTTGAATATTATGAAGGGGTATCGATTCCATATGAAGGGGTATCGATTCCCTCTATTCTGGGCAACCTTTTTGAGTATAAAAATCATCCCCAAACGGCTCCAAAACATCCCTAACGGCTATATACGACTTCAAACTCATTCCAAGCTATAAATACAAGCTGATGACACTTGAAGAAGTAAGAGAACAACTATCCAAGTAATCAAACACAAGAGAAGAGTTTTTCATTCTTATTTCATCTTTCTCTTGTAAATGTTTTGTTCTTGTGAGCTTAATTCTTGTAAACACCTACCTTAGAGAGGTTTTATTGTTTATATCTTTTATCCTTTTGTAAAGGGGAAAGGTTATAGCTTAGCCCGTGTAAAAGCTAGGGAAAGGTTCTAGTTTAGCCCGAAAAAACTAGGGAGTTGTAAGGTTATCTCTTTGTCCTCAAAAGAAAGAACAAATTAGTGAATTTGTTGGAAAATCCTTGGTGAGGAGCTAAGGTAGTGGACGTAGACTTTGATTGAGAAAGTCGAACCACTATAAATCGCTGTGCAATTCTCTATCTTTCAATCTCCTTACTCCCTAAACACAAAACCGTTCCGACCCCTCTTTGCAAATCGTTCCGGTTGTCGTTTCGAGCTTCCGAAAATCCTAACAAAAACTAACACTGAATATCCAGATCCTTGACTTACAGTTCCAGAAACATAAAAATTTAAACAAAAAACACACAATTCTTCCTCCATTTTTTCTTTGTAAATAAAAAGTTGAAAGACAGAGCACTGCTTGGGTTTATAATTTTACATGGCGTAAAACTGAAGAACAAAAACCAAACCAGAGTGCATGTGAGCGAAAGAGACAGAGATGTGAATGTGTTGTTTGGGATTTCTTTATATTTGATCATCTGTTGGAAAATCTTTAACCACAAGGATTAAACGAAGAAATTAATATATGTCATTTATACAAAATAATTATAGCTTTGTTGGTGACTTTCAACAATGATACTTATTTCCTTTTAGTAGTATTTGTCAACTATGTATTTCTAACCCTATTTTTTCTCACAAGCATTTCATCGAACATCTATGCTTCACCTGAGATGACCAGTATCTAATATTACACCTTGAATCATTGATGGTCCCGATAGTCCCTTGGTCGGGTATTCTCTTAATGGACCCTTATTCAAGTCAATACCTCCACATAATTCAAAGTTAGATTATAATTTCCCATGCATCCTCGACTGAAAAGTTGCGCTGGAAATGAGAAGAGAGAAGCGAAAGGAAAATTCGAGATCGAAAAGAAATTTGGGGTTTAGAATGAAATTAAGGATTGTGTTGAAAGTTTTAAAAGTTTGGGGACCTAAATGCAAGCGTTTGAAAAGTTTAGTGACCATATTGCAAATGAACTAAATGTTTGAGGACTGCCACATCATCTTCTTCTAACGGCAGTGTAACGACTTCAAACGGTCGGTTACGTCGGGTACCATATTGCAAACGGACTAAATGTTGGAGGACTGTATTGCAAGTTTTAAAAGTTAGGGAACCTAAATGCAAGTGTCAAAAAAGTTCAGTTACCATTACTATACTTTATCCTAAAATAAAATATTAGACTCCTGAAATAATATCATATATTTAAAATTTGATATTATGAATAAAATTTGAAACTATTATCATTATTTGTATATATAATATTCAATTTGAATTAGCTAATTATTAAATTAAATAATATTAGTTATAGAAAATAATTATGAACATGATAAACTTCATTAGGTAAAAAATGATGATTTTATGGAGGGATGGGCATGTGTCAAGTTTTTGATCTACCTGACCCAAGAAAAACGCATCATCCACCTGAAATTCGACCTAACTTAAGTTTAGGATGATTCCACCCGATGTCCTGACCCGAAACTAGACATGTCTTTTGAGATAAAACTCGCACCGGACTTGACAACCCGACACATATATATAATAGGATCCACTTACACGGTGTAAAACTCTTTACTTTTACATAAATTTAAGACTGTTTGATGAGCGAAAATAGATGGATGAGGTCAATGACTGAGCCACACCTTGGTGAGAGTGGGCACTGAAATATAAATTTTATTCAATTAATTACTTATTTTATGGACAATACATACCTTGAAGCTTTATATGTAACCATTTCATTTAAAAATTTTATGTTATTAACATATGTGTGCCCACCTTGAAAAGTATTTTTGGATCCTCAACTAGATAAGATTGACTCGTTGTTTTCCCCCAATAAATATCTTTACATTTCATACTTTTAATCTTAACATATGTTTTCCCCCAATATATATATATATATATATCTCAGCCATCTATTCTCACTCATCCAACGGTCTTAAATTTGTGTAAAACAGAAGAGTTTTTACATTGTGTGTATATATATGATTTCATTCAATAAAATGAGAATCTAATTAATATATATATATATATATACATTATTTTCCAGACTGGATCATATACTTTTCACCCTAAATTTAAATTTGACCCAACTCAAACTTTTCTCTAAAATAAACTTGATTCTAACATATTTTTTTAAAATATTGTCTCAATAGAATCGAATTCAATCCATATTTTCCCCTAATTTTAGGTAGCATGAATATAAAGAAGGCAATTCTCAACAAATTGAAGGAATTGTCAAAATGAAATTTTATGTTAGAGGTTAATTTCCCGGAAATAGTATTAATTAGCATTAAATCCTAAAAATTACCATAATTTGCGTAGATCTTCATGCTAATCTTTCATAATAAAAATCATTTAATAATTAATTTTAAATTTTAAATTTTGAAATACTTAATTCCAAGCCAAATATGTTAATACACGCACCAAAAAAAAACTATAACAAGGAAAGTGTGCCTTTAGAAGAAGTTTGTATTAATTGAAAACAATAAGACCGTTAATTTGTACACGCTAGACCCAAACCAACGGTCGAGATTGCGTAATCGGATAATTCATAAGGCATAAATGGGAAAGTCTAATTATGGTAGTTGGTAACGCTTCTAGAGAATAATTTCTTAAAGCGGGGAAAACACACTAGAGAAATAATGAAAATAAAATAAATGCCACAAAAAATAAAATAACAAGAAATGCTTTTAAAAAAGGGTAAACTACAACATTCATCACTGAACTTTACTTTCTATCCTATTTCACTCACTATACTTTCAATTTTTTCAGTTTACTCACTAAACTTTGAAGTTGCTCATGTTTTGATCATCCTGAATTATTTTATTGTTGTTTCGATATAAAATGGTATTTTTTTATTATTTAATATAAAAATAATTTAAAATATAAAATAAAACCCAAATGATGGTTGAGGGTGACGAGAAGGGATGATTATTTTAAATTATTTTAAATTTAATAATAATAAAATAATATTTTATTATTTATTTTAAAATATAAAATAAAACCCAAATGATGGTTGAGGGTGACGAGAAGGACGATGATTAATTTAAATTTAATAATAATAAAATATTATTTTATTATTTATTTTAAATTATTTTTATATTTAATTACAGTGATCAAAACATGAGTAATTTGAAAGTTCAGTAAGTAAATTGAAAAAATTAAAAGTATAGTGAGTGAAATAGAAGAAAGAGTAACGTTTAGTGACGAATTCTGTAGTTTACCCGAAAAAATTACTATAAAGAAAGCTCAGTTATCAAAATAATTCCTCAAAAAGGAATAAAGAAAATAAAGAAAATAAACTCTGTTCTGCTAACAAGGAAAAGCTAAAGACAAATACAGAGTAGAAAGAGAGAGAGAAGAGCAGAGAATTGCGTTGTACCCAAAAGTTCAAAGAGAGCTGAGGCATCTTAGCTCTGTTTTGGCTATCACATCATTGTTTCTTTGTACAGATTTTACTTGCAAAGCTTTTTTCCCCCCCTGCTTCAGCTTCCAATCTTACTTTGTACTAGTTTTGTTTGCTTTTTAGTGGGTTTGGCTATCTGGGTTTTATTTTAAAGTTGAAAAGATTGAAAACTTTACCTTTTTTATCTCAGTTTTTGCTTTGTTTTCTCGTCTGGGTTGTTTCAGTTTCCTTATTTTATAATGACTATGGAAGAGAAAACGGGTGGTTCCAATGGTGAAGATGGTGGCAAGGACCGGTTTCCTATTGGCATGCGTGTTTTGGCCGTTGACGATGATCCTATTTGCCTCAAAGTTTTGGAAAATCTGCTTCGTAAATGCCAATATCATGGTTAGTGGTTCTTTTTTTTTTCTTTTGAATTCTCTGGGAAGTTTTCTTTAATTCTTTTGTCAAAAGTCTTGTTTTGAACTTGAAGTTTAATTCAAAGATTCTGGTGATAAGATCTGTGTGTTGCTCATTGAAGTATGCATTTTGATTTATGGTATTTGTTCTTCTGTAGTTGTTACAACAAATCAGGCAATTACGGCCCTCAGAATGTTGAGGGAAAACAGAAACAGATATGATTTGGTTATAAGTGATGTTAATATGCCAGATATGGATGGCTTTAAGCTTCTTGAGCTTGTGGGGCTCGAAATGGACCTACCTGTAATCAGTAAGCATTAACCCCCTTTTTTCCCCATTTGATTTATGATTTAGATTTGTTTCAGAGTGATTTACCGTACTGTCTTCCTGTTTGATGAATTGCCAGTGTTGTCTGCTCATAGCGATACCAAGCTGGTAATGAAGGGTATTACTCATGGTGCTTGTGACTACTTATTGAAGCCTGTTCGAATCGAGGAGCTCAAGAACATATGGCAACATGTCGTGAGAAAAAAGAAACCTGACTCCAAGGATCACGGTAATTCGGGGAATCAGGATAAGACTTGGGGAGGAACCAGTGATGCCGGTCCGATGTCGACGTGCAGTTCTGATCAAAAGGTCATTAAGAAACGAAAGGATCAAAGTGAAGATGGGGATGAAGACTGTGAAGATAACGGCAGTGATAATGAGGACCCTTCGACCCAGAAGAAGCCTCGGGTTGTTTGGTCTGCAGAGCTGCATAGGAAGTTTGTTTCTGCCGTGAACCAATTGGGTCTTGACAGTGAGTTCTTCACTGTTGAGATTAGTGTTCCGTTCAATGACATTATGAAAGCTTTTAATTTTCTTTTTTGCTCTCTTTATTTAAATGCAGAGGCAGTTCCGAAGAAGATTCTCGACCTTATGAATGTTGAAGGGCTTTCGAGGGAAAATGTTGCAAGCCATCTGCAGGTAATCCCCATTCCTCTATTTTGTTTACTTTCTGCATTTTGATTCCTATAATGCACTTTAAAGCTTTACTATCTGATGTTTTCGTTGCAGAAATATAGGCTTTACCTGAAAAGGCTCAGTAGTTTTGCAACTCAACAAGCTAACATGGCTGCTGCATTCGGCAGTAAAGACCCCTCTTACTTGCGCATGGGTTCACTGGACGGCTTTGAGGATTTTCTAACGTTGACTGGACCCAGAAGGCTTTCGAGTGCTTCCCTATCGTCTTATCAACCAGGTGGAATGCTTGGGAGACTGAACTCCTCAACTGCTTTAAGCTTACGTGAGATTTCTTCCGGCATGATCCAACCGGGGTATTCTCAAACATTGAACAATTCAATCAATGGTCTCGGGAAGGTCCAGCCGGTTGTGTTACCTGCAAACCAGAATCAAAATGGAACTTTGTTTCAAGGGATCCCAACATCAAGTAATACTCTTCCTACTGCCTCAGGCATCCCCTTTGGAGAATTTGATCGTGTTAATGATTTGAATGTTTTTGTTGTCCCTAAGAACTTTCTCGATGCCGGAGTGATGGTTGGTAGATCAAATAATACTCTTCCTACTGCCTCAGGCAACCCTTCATTATTACAAGCAAACACACAACAGACACACAGTGGTACATTTGGAAATCAATTGTCTCTCGGTGTATCATCACTGAATCAGGAACCGTTTGACATGCATGTTCGCAGTTCTTCGAATTTTATTGATCATGGTAGATGCAGCGAAAACTGGCAAGGCGCGGTTCATTTATCCAGTTTCCCATCAAATTCATTGTCGACCAGTGAAGCTTTCAATCACGAGCAATTGGCAACTAATAATTTGCAAGAAAGCATCTCTTGGGCGAGCTCTCACCTTAATAACATCCCTCTTGATCATTCTTCTCCCCTGGCAAATTCGACGATTTCGAAGGACTCTAGAGGAGACATATCCCAAGTTGGTCTAAAGAATAATGTCATTCAGGATATCGATTACACAACAAAGCAACAGAGGGTCTATCGAAGGCACGATTACAACGGAAATATGAATCGTTCATTCAGCAGAATGGACTCCCTGGTTTCTGCAAGTGGACTTGTGGTGGACCAAAGCAATGCCATCGACAATAAATTAAACGATGTTTCTTTGTTCAGCCAATTTTCCGGTGGCAGTGCTTATGTTGTTCCACACCTTGAGGGTGAGAAATCCGCTTTCGATACAAAATCGAGATTGAATGTGGGCTTCCTCTTTGACCAGACCAAGTCACAGAGTGGTTTCAGTCAAACTGATTTCGAACCCTCAGATGATATAAAGATGTCCATGATCAAATCGGTGAGAAAATAGTTTCCCTTGCATCTCTTAGTTTTGAACGCTTGGAGAAGTTCCTTGAAATGACTATTTTCTCTGATGCAGGAGCAAAATAATGAGCCTCCATTGTTGGACGGAGAATTCGGATTCGATGCGTACTCCCTTGGATCATGCATATGAGAAGCTTGATGCTGATTCTAAGATATATGGGGTGGTTGCTTCATTTAATACCTTGTCGAAATTGATGACAACATCTTTCTTTATGGATTTCATTCTTCATGTCCTGCAAATTGATGAAATTGTAGTTTGAGAAATGTTTAGTTTCTCAGTTTTTCTTAGTTTCGTTTGTATCTTGTTTGTCATAGTTATGTGAAGGTTACAGAAGAGTTATAGCTTTTGCTGCTGAGAACGGTGAACTTCGAGTTTCGACAACACACAGATGGAACATGGTGCTTGAATTACAACAACTATCTATGATATTTAAATGAACTAAACAAACCTTCCCAACCCATTTCCCGAGCTGTTGTGAGTTTCCTCTCCTTGATCATCAAAGCCTCGGCTCGTTCTCTCGCCCACTTGTAAGTCTCTGTGGCGGCGATGCATTTTCGGCTTCCCTTTGGTACTGGGAAGCCACCCTTTTCGGCTTCCCATATCAGGCAAAAATCATGAATCTAAAGGAACAAGGCATATAATTAATCAATTTAGTTGATATATGAAAACTCTAACCTGTGTGTGAATAAACCATAGCTAGTATTAATTGAATTTCAACAAATCAGAATTATATTTTGGCAAAAATGGACTAAATATTGGACTGTTGCTCCTATCAAGTTCGCTTCTTCTCCAACCTTACCATCGGAAAACCAAATGACCCAAAACTCTTCATGCCATAGTCGGCCCAGAAGCTTCTATATGCATCCGGTAGTTTCAAGTTTCAACCATTCCACACACACACACATGAAAGGCCCTTAATCTTCCACGTCTCACTTAAAGACTTTCTTTGCATTTCCCCATTCTTATTTTTGTTTCTTTAAAACTTTTATTTTTGCTTATATATAATTACTACCATATCAGGAATCAGCAAAAAAGGTAGATAACAAAGCAAATCCTAAACCTGAACCGAAATTCCTCTCTTCTCTTTTGATCTAAACCCAAAACAAATAAACAATGTCGCAGGCAAAAATGGAAGCGGTGAAGAACTTGAACATCAAAAGATACATGGGGAGGTGGTACGAGATAGCTTCATTCCCTTCAAGGTTCCAGCCAAGGAATGGGGTGGACACAAGGGCTATCTATACTTTGAACGAGGATGGGACCGTGAATGTGCTTAACGAGACTTGGTCTGATGGAAAAAGAGGGTATATTGAAGGCACCGCCTACAAGGCTGATCCCAGCAGCAATGAGGCAAAGCTCAAGGTCAAATTCTATGTTCCTCCTTTCTTGCCCATCATCCCTGTTGTTGGAGATTACTGGGTTTTGTACATCGACGATGATTATTAGTATGCTCTTATTGGCCAGCCTAGCAGGACGTATCTCTGGGTATGTATTTTATTTCATCCCCCTCAATCTCCAATTGAAATTGTTCAAACGGAATGCATGTTCTGATTGTCTTTGTATTTTTTTGGGGGGTTTCTGGTGTAGATATTGTGCAGGCAGAATCATATGGATGATGAGATCTACAATCAGCTGGTGCAGAAAGCTGTAGTTGTGGGATATGATGTTAGTAAACTGCACAAGACCCCACATAGCGATCTTCCACCAGAAGAAGAGAGCTCTCCTAATGACACCAAAGGCATTTGGTGGATCAAATCCCTTATTGGGAGGTAGAAATCATGGTTTTGCGGAAATATCGAAATCCAGTTTGTAGACTATGGCTTTTTTGCGTGAACTCAATATTCCCACCTTGTGTTTGTTCTGCAAAGAAATAGGTTGGTTTTCAATTAAGGTTTAAAATAGATAAAATAATCTCAGTAATCGAAAATTTCTTATAATATACGATTTTGATCAATTTTTGTTTGATTTATCAAAATGACCAATAAAATAGTAATGCGATCTTTAAATCGCAACGCGATCTCCAGTATCGTAAATCAGTTTTTAGATTCGCAACGTGATTTTAACTATCGTATCGCGATTTTGACTATCGCATTGTAATTTTCCAAATTCACGTTGCGCTTTTAGAAAATCGCAATGAAAATATGTAAATCGAAACGCGATAATATATAATCACAACGCGATTTTGATTATCGCAACGCGATTCTGACTGTCGCAACGCTGAATTTCAAATTCGCAACAGATTTTAGTTTCGCAACACAAATGTTTTGGGTATATAACTACGCAGCAGCATCAACTCATAACCTAAACCTCTAAAACGCAACTCATTTTATCTTCATCTATCGCTCTCTCCGGAGACATCTGTTCCTATATCCAACGACATCCTTCCCCATCCGGCAACAGGTTTTAGTTTCGCAGCTCGTTTGTTTAGTAAATTAATTTACAATGAAATCATCTAATGTTGATCATGTTTGGATAGATTTGTGTTTTGGAGGGTCATGGGAGAATGTTCATGGTGTTTTACAATATATGTCTTTACCCATGAATCTTCAACTAAAATTGTCATTAAAAAAATTAACTTATGAAACTCTAATGTTACGTGTTGCAAGTAAATTGAATTTAGAACCCTTAAGTGGATTTAGGCTATCTTATCAGAGAAAAGGTAAAATTTATTTGTTAACCGACAATGAAGATGTTGAACGATTCATTGCTTACATTAGTGTTTCGCAAGATGATGTTACATTGTATGTTGTTGAACCTAGAAGTAGTGAAGTTGGGTCAGTAGCGGGTAGTAATCAACTAAGTTTTTCAACTCCAGTTTATGGTGCTCAAAATTTAATGGTTCTACCACAATTTCATCACCAAGCAAATTTTGTTTCACCACATTTCCAATACCAAACACAATCTCAAAACCCACAACATTTCCCTAATCCAAATCCCAATCAATTTTCAGCACCAAATTCCGGTTTTCGTATTAACCAGTTAGACGATGATGAGCCAACAGAAAAAATTGTGAGTACTAGTCGGTATTCAAAATTTGATCTTGGTCAATACCCGGACTTTGATCTTGGTCAATACTCGGATTTTGATGATGTTTCAGAAGAAGAAACAGACCCTGTGTGTAATGATTTTGATATTGGTCAATACCCGAATTTTAATGATGAAACAGCCGCTGTCGAGGAAGATGTTGTTGATGATAATGAGGAGGAAGTTACGACTGTGAATAAACATGTTGAACATCCATTCTGTAATTCATATAACCCTGAAGAAGAAAAAGAAGAAGAAGAAATCCCCGAAGAAAAGTCCCCGAAGAAAATGCCACGGGAGTATAACTGGAATATGCCATAATTACTTTAGATACCGGAAGAAGAGTTGGTAAAAATAGCAGTTGATTGTTACATAAAAATTATTCGTATCAAGAAAGATGATTGTTTTGATACAAAGGAAGACTTGAAGATAGCTTTGTATACGAAATGTGTGGAAGATGGCTATCAACTAAAAGTTAACAAATCAAGCAAAGATCGTTTCGAAACAAGGTGTATGATTGACAAAAACTGTACGTGGCGTATGATTGCAAAGAGGATAAAAGATTACGAAATGTTTCAAGTTAGGAATTTTATTGATAAACATACATGTTCAAGAACTCAAGTTTTTCCTCACCATAGACAGGCAAACAAAAAGGTGTTGGGTGGTTTTCTGGCTGAGTTAATGTTTTTGAATGGCAGGGTATATTGGGGACATGAAATTATGACTGACATGAATGCTCGGTTCAAGATTAGTATCTCATATTCTCAAGCTTGGAGAGCCAAATGTTATGCATTGGAATTGTTGAGGGGGTCGCCAGAAGCATCGTTTGCCCAACTGCCAGCTTATTGTCACAATTTAAAGCTGAAAAATCATGGGTCGGTAACTCATATCAAAACAGATAGAGATGGACGCTTTGAGTTGCTGTTTATCGCCATTGGTGCTGTTATTAGTAAATCAATATAATTTTGTTGACTCATTTTTGTTAGTTACATGCATTTCACATTTAAATGATTATATTTCTTGTGTATATGATTTTGTAGATTCGTTCATTTATTACTTGCATGCGCCCAGTTATTATAGTTGACGGAGCACATTTAAAAGGTCGATATCTTGGAGTAAACTTATCAGCAGTAGCCATGGATGCTAACAATGGGATACTACCAATAGCTTACGGGGTTGGCAAATCTGAAACCTCTTATTCATGGACATGGTTTATAGGGCATCTTAGGGATTGCATAGGTCCTATTAGCAATCTGACAATCATATCCGATAGGGCAAAATCAATTGACAACGCTGTTAGAAGGTGTTTCCCATATGCTTTTCATGGACTTTGTGGTGTTCATTTGTATAGAAATCTAAAATCAAGGTCTGCTGGTATAAAAAATACAAATGGATATACTAGAAGGCTGTAAAAGCTAATCGGGAAGTGGATTTTAATAAGCATATAAATTGTTTAAGACGTGTTTTGCCTCAGTGTGCTCAAACACTAGAAGATGTCGGGTTTGAAATATGGTCAAGAGTACATCAACTTGGAGCAAGATATGGTTTCATGACGTCTAATAGTGCAGAATCAATCAACGCTCTAAGTCGTCATTCCCGGAAATTACCCATTACTATGTTAATGGAGTTTTTTCGAGCCTCTATTCAACAGTAGTACTACAAGAAAATAAACCATGCAGGTATTATTTCTTTAAATTCGTAACTTATCATATATTTTACTAAGTATTATTTATTTAAATTTACAGGAACATTAGAACATCGTGTTACACCATGGACTGAAGAAAAGATAACGAAACGTGTTGTGAAGTCAACGTCATGGAGAGTTGAACCATGTTCAAACACTTTATTTGAAGTACTGGATAATAACTTAAACGGGCTTGTCGATCTAAATGCAAAGACATGTAGTTGTATGAAATGGCAAACATCTGGTTATCCGTGTGGCCATGTTATAAAAGTTGCTCTTCATCTAAACCAAGATGATTCAAGCGCATACGCTATGGATTGCTACACTACATAAGTATATCGACAGACTTATGCCGAGATTATCTACCCTATTCCACATCCTTCTTAGTAGGACATACCAAATCACTTACAAACAGTTTTGCCACCAGCCATGGACAGAAGGCTACCTGGCCAACCAAAAAGTCGTGATCGTATACCGTCTAAGGGTGAAGAGAATAAGAGATTGACATGTAGTCGGTGCAAGGAAAGTGGTCATACAAGGTTGACATATGGATTACCAGTGCCATCACAATCATCTTTTCCTCTACCAAAATATGGATCCTCATCAAAATCCAAAGCTCATATGGTGTCAAGA